GCTACCAACATTTACCTCAGAAAATCGATTCCGCAGATGAGAGAATGTGGATATAAATCGATTCATTTGGAAAGAGTTCAGCTCAGTTAGTGGAACATACTTAAAATCCTATGTGGAAAAAACATCACTGGAATCAATATAGAGTACCCATTTTCCCTAGACCAGATTGGGTCGCAGCCAAAGTATCGCACTTCTTAAATCTTTTAAAAGGAAAATCGCACAGACCAATAATATCTACTGCAAAAGAGGTTGGGAAGGTTATTCATTCTTAATCCTCTTTAGCCCAATAAACAAACTGCTTTTAAATCGCAATCAGTGGAAGTGCTTAATTTAAGGCTGGATTTTAGTCAAGGTCATTGCTTTTTCACCGGTTAATCGGTGAATAAATAAATCGGATCTAAACAGCTCACTCAAAACAAATTCATACTAAAAAGGGACTAATCTCTTCGATCAGTGGAAACATTAACAGTTGCTAATAACCAAATCGGGAGCGGATATTTTAGAAGGGGGGGGAGGTATCAGGTAAATGGGCACTCTGCCCCCAATTCCAGATGTTTTTCTGACCCAATCGCTATCAGCTGGATCAATTTCAGTGGGTAACCAAGACTATTTCCTTAAGGGCAAGTGTTCTGTTTTTTATTCGGACCGCTTCTCCAGCAAAGTTTTCATTTACCCAGACATCTGCTGAAGCTGAATGTTGAAGGGCTTCTTAACTAACAGGCAGGACAGTGGTTCTGAAGTAAGATAATGAACAGCGCGGGACTTTCTGCAACGATTACTGCAATTCTCCGACCTGTACGCACGGGTATGCTAATTCCTTCTGAAAAATTCGGCGAAGCAAATTTATGTTGATCTTGACAACTTTGTGTTTTGTTTTGTTTTTATCTGAATAATTGCCATGGGTTCTAAAAGGTTCCCCCCCCAATCTCACTGACATTGTGTATGCGAGGATGGGAAAGCTTTGCAGTAAAACACAATAGGAAAATCAAATCAGTCTCCCTCAGGCTCTGAAATCCGTAACTGCATTTTTGATTGGCAGAATCTAGAATGCCAGGGCAGGCATACTTTGGAGATAGACAGGAATTTCCATCAGGTCCTATAAGATCCTTTCAATTCAGATAGATATTCATCATTCAGATAATCATAAACATTTTTTAAAATCCAGGTAGAAATGCCAAAAACTTAGCTGCAAATGGGCAACGTATATTTGTGGGTGACAACTGCGTCAAACATGCTTATATTTTGCTGTAATTAGAATGTAATTAAGTGTAATTCAAAGATACCAATTCCTTGTTCAGTACCTTGTCTCCTAAAAAAAAGAGCTTGGATCCTTTTACCTAGTCCTAGAGAGTTGTTTTGCTTTTAATTGTCAAATTGGTCAGATTAGCTTCAGACCTGCTATTCACACGCTGATGTTTCTCGCTACTAATAGGTGAGAAAGTCATGCAATTTAAGGCCTGGTACTCCTTCCTTAATGTTCTGCAGGAAGATGCTCTGGCTCGGAGCCCCCAAGTCTAAGTTATGTAACTTTTCTTGTGCTTTGCCTCTGAGGAGTCCGGCTGTGCCCCGAAAGGAAGACCCTTAACAGCTGCGTGATTCATTAAGAGCTAAATAATTCATCCTCCTGTGATCAGGATGAATAGGGAACTACAGAGCTAGTCTTATAAAATTCTCTCTGTGAGATAGGAAAGGTGAGGGAAGTTGAGAGGAAAAGAAGAGGATAAAGAATTCAAAATCCAAGATGCGGTCACGTCATTTTCATTCTTCCAGGTTCTCTGATTTAGTTGTCCAAAAGTCACAGTATCTTTGGGAAACGATCTTTTATTTTTAAAAAATACGTGATGGAATATCAACAAATGCACCCATTTATTCAACTCAGACTCCCATCCCTCCAAATTGATTTCACTCCTGAAGGACACTCAAGCCCACCCTCCCATCCTTTCTTCAAGGAGGCCTCTCCCCAACCTCTTTCCTTAAAAACGCTAATCTAACCTTCCAGCCTGGGCTGGGGTGAAGAGTTCCCTTTCTCTCAGCCAGAGAGAAGGAGGCACCGTGCCCCCTTCCCAGGGAAGGTTGAATGAGGGTCTTCCCAGAACACAGCAGTTCACCAATAAGCACGTCAGTCTCTCTCTCACACACACACACACTTTTTTTCCTCAGCCCATGGTTCATAGCCCTGTCTATGGTCTTTCCTTTGGGTGCCTCTTTCCTCCCTGAATCTTCACCGCCACCACCTCTCAGGGGACAAAGAAGAAGCTTCTACTCAGGAGCAGATTCTTTTCAAGGACCGTTGCGTCAAGATCGGGGCAACCCTGCCTTATATGGGGACGCAGGGTTTGGCTTAGTTGATTATTTGGTGAGCGGTGCTAATTGTCTCCTGTTGCACAAATTCACAAGGTAGCAAAAAGTTAACAGGATATTTAAACTGAGTTCCCCTACACAGAAACCTTAGCAGGGTACCATTGTGCCCCATTCCGCTGGGTCTCCTAATCCCACCGGGACATCCTTTGTGATAGTTCCCGGGGAAAAGCTTTACATCAGACCAGAGGCTGGCTAATAGTCCTTCTAGAGAGCGCGACTTTCTCCCGAATCTGCCGGCTTTGTCCAGCAACTAGGACGGCATAACGGGGGTCTCCTCTACCTTGCCCGAGGGCATAACGGGGGTCTTCTCTACCTTTCGATAATTCTCCTTTTTCACAGAAATGAATATACAGTAAAAGTAAGTTACTGGGAGTTCTGCTTTTTACACTGGCCAAAATTCCCTTCATCGAAAAGGATCCTAAGCCTATGCTCTGACACTCAAATAACATTTCAAGGGTACTCAAAGTGCAGACGGATCAGATTTAAGCCACCAAAGTACCATTCCCCTATAAAGTATAAAGTAAACCGGGGGGGGGGATTTTGTGCAGCGAGATTAGATGGCGTTGAAACGCTTCTCCTCTGCAGCCGGACTGATTTGTCCTGCAAACTCTAGTCCATCGTTCCCAGTCGGTTATTTGAAAAAAGCATTTTCCTTGACATGATATTTTACTCTTTTTTTAAAAAGTACCACTACCGGACTTCATTTCCAGGGCTGCCCTTTAACTCTGGAAAGTACTCCTGGCACAGTCTCTATTATGGCACACTGACAGATGGCCATTCATTTGACTCCCAATGTATTTATTTCCAAGAAATTCCACCTATTTTAGGTGGGACTTCCTCCTTAAAACTCCTGAGACCGACCTGGTTTAAAGCGACCTGCTCTGATCGACCTAATGGCCAGGGCAACAGGCCAGGAGAGTCGGAGGTGAGTCGATTGCATCGAGAAGAGAAGCGCGAGAAGGCTTCTTTTTCCTCAGAGGCACTCACTCTCTGGGAACAAGCCGCCGGGCAGCTTTTGGAGCCAGCTTGGGGCTCGCGTCGCTCCGCTCAGGCCTAAAACCATTCCCAAGGCTGGAGAAACCTGAGGGTCGCGCATGCAACCCCTTCGAAGCCAAGGCAAATCGATGGATAGCGGCACCCCGTTTCCTCACTAGCGATTGACAACGTTTCCTAATCACGGTCGCGGCGAGACTGAAGCCTTTGTTAGTGCAGCAACTCAGCGATGATTGAATAAGAAGCTAAAACTCTTTCATTTCTTCTCGTCAAGAAATGGAAAAAGATTTTGAAAGGATTCAGTGAGAAGCACGGGGGGAATAGAGTGGAAGAAAGGCAAATTCAGGGTGCGCAAGGAACAACCTGCGAGACCAGCCCCTCAAAGCTCTGCTTGACGGCTCGAGCTGATGCCTAGAAAGTCTCCCGCTCCGGCTTGGTCTGCGATTTGCAGCAGAAGGCCGGGGCAGGGGCCTGGGTGGGCGGGAAGCAACTTCTCGCGGATCGGGAATGTTTCCAAAAAGATGGACCCAATTTCAGTTTTCCGAGAACTGAGCGGCCATCTGCCTGCCTTGGGCCTACAACACCCCAGCCGAGGGTTGCTGAGGCAGCAAAGCCTTCGGCGGCCCTCACGCTGCACGTCCCAAGGCCGGACTTGAGGGCCCTCTTGCCGGAGCCGCTCGCTTTTTGCCCTCCTTCTTCTTCCCAGCTCGGCCTCCAATCCCGGCCTGGGGAGGGTGGTTGTCTTTCTTCAGAGGCTTTTCGGAGGGGCACTTCGACTCAGGCAGTTTTTTCGAACGAGCTCGCGTGGCGCCCTCGCTCAAACTCTCCAAATCCTCGGAGCCGAGGACTCGCCCGGGAAAGAGGCCGCGCGCCTGGAAGCTTTGCGGCCTGATCACCAAATGCTGCGCATGCTTACTTGGAAGTAAATCTCTGGTGTCCGCCAAGGCTCCCCCCCAAACGAGGACCATTAAAACTTTAACTGTGGGGCGCGACCAGGTGGGTCCGCTGGAAGTTTCCTATCTTTAATACCCCTAAGCTGAAGGTGCTCTTTATTTCCCCTATGCCCGTTTTCCTTGGATTTTACGCCGCCTCTCACGGGACTGGAGGAGCCTTTACAACCTGAGAAAAAAGCCTCTTTCTGAGTTGGCTCCTCGTTATCGTTTTACCCCTCGCCACAAAATTGAAAAAAGTGGGGACGTGAATTTGCGCCTCCGGTTAGACGAAGTCAGAATGGAGTAATTATTATTAAACCGGTGTGGATTTGTGAACGAAAGGAAAGAAGGGAAACTACGTTCATGGGAACGAGTCCTAATAAGAGGGAGATATTTGTTCCTGCTGACCGGCAGGGACCGCGTACCCAAAGCCCTGGAATGGGCAGCTTTTCCCCTTCAAACGCATCGTTTTAAAAATAGAGCAGCATCGTTTCCGCACGTGTATATCGCCTTTATCCTGCGTTTCTTCGTCTATCTCGCCCGGAAAATGCCGTGTCACGCGTGGGTGTACACGTGCGCGTCTAAGAAGTCGGGTTCCTGGATCGATGCTTAGCTGTCAGGCGATCGTTTGTTCCGCAGCCATCCGAAAGGGAGGGCAAAAGAGCAATCTGGCGAAGCGCGCGGCCGGCGGGAAGCCGCGGCTCCGACACTTACCGTCCTGCTGCTGAGTGTCACTGCCGCTGGTCAGCCCCGGCGATTCCAGGAGACTCCGGCCGCTTTCCCCGACGCTCTCGTCGGTCTGAGCCGCCACCAAGTCGCCGGCTTCCTCCAGGTCCAACAGGTGGCTGACCGAGAAGTTCTTCTTTGCCTGCAAGCTGTCGAGGTTGCCGGGGCTCTCCAGGCGCGTGGCTAGGACGGCCGGCTGTCTCTCCAGGACGTGCCCGTAGCTGGAAGTCATGGCTTTGCCTCCCCCGACCGAGTAGGAGGAGGGCAGCCAAGGCAGAGGAGGACGGTCGGAGTCCCGGACGAAAGGCGCCCGGCCAAGCCCGCCGGCCACTGTTGCTTTCCCGGGTCGCGAGGCTGCTCCAGGCGGGGAAGCCGCGCGGAGCGGCCCAAAGCCGGCAGATCAGCCGCGTCCTACGCCTCCTCAGTCCCAGCAAAGCTCGACTGAAGCGGGAACCCCGTCTCCCGCCTGCGTTTCCTTAGCCGGCCGCGCTCCTTGGATAGCCGGGCGAGCAACTGAGGCGGCAGGAGCGGGCGTCTTGCCGAGGCTTCCCGCCGACTTAGCGGCGCAGCTGAGCTCCTCGCCCGCGGGCTGAGGGAAGAGGGCTGCTGGGGGAAGTGCTGCGCTAGCTCCGCGCCGCTTACCGCTGGGCTTCCCGACCAAGCGGCCCTCTGCCACTTGTAACGGCGCAGCCTGGCAAGCGGGCGGGCGGGGCAACTCCAGGGCCCTCGGGAGGACAGAGCCAGACTTAACAGGAGCCTCTAATTACGTGGCAAAGGCTTTGTGCTGTTTCTGACGTTTCACAGACCTCCTTCCTCCCCCCGCCCCCGCCGCCTCTCCCTTTCAGTCCGGCCTCGGCGAACCCACCCTCGCATTTAGGGATCCCCCCCCCCCCCCCCGCGCGAGCCGGAACGCGCGCGCGCGGCCCCTTCCCCCCGAAAAGCCAAAGGCCCCCCCCCCCCCCGAGTCGAAAGCTGGGAAGCCCAGGCGGACGCCGGAGATGACTCCCAAGCCCCGCTGCTTATTTGCTTTGCTAATTAAGGCTGAGGAGGATTAGTTGAAGGTCTTGCCGGAGAATCTCATTTGCATGGCGGGCGGGTGGCGGGCTCTTTAGGAAAGCATCCCGGGCGTGGCTAATCAACTTCGCTTTTCTTAGGCGTTTAATATATTTTCCCTTCTTGCCCCAAGTGTTGCTTCGGGCTGCTAAAACAAAGGAGAGGGAAATAGAACAGTGCGTACGAGTGTTTTGTTTCGACCTAGCCGATGGGGGAAATACAATACAGGGTTACCACATTTAGTCTATTATGTACTGGAGTGCGTCCCGACATGAATGGCTCAGTGAAAAGCTCTTGTTTTCGGCCTTCTGCTCAACTGCCATTTCGAATGACTCGGGCTTTCTTGGATAGCATCAGACTGGCCCAGTGACGGGTTAAGGCTCACTGGTGCCCTAAACACTGACAAATCTTGGTGCCCCCCCCCCACTTTGTACATACTGTACAAACGAAGCCAAGCTTAGGCTACATAAAACTTTGTGGTGCCCCCTTTGGGCATGGTGCCCTAAGCACGTGCTTATTCTGGTTAATACACCACTGGACTGGCCATTGGCTCACACATTTTGATTTGGTCTCTCCGCAGTCCCCGCCTTAAAATAGCCGTGTATACAACAAATGGCAGCACCCTGCTTATCTGTACTAATCTTGAGAAAGATACTGTACATAATAGCATTCGCCCTGATTGGAGCTTCGATAGGAGACCACTAGGAAATCTCAGAATTATAGGAAATAAAGAAGAAGGAACAACAAATTGCCAAGGAAACTACATGGAATCAACAGAAATCACACTAGGCTCAAATCTTTATCTTTATGTTATCACTTTATATTGTCACTTTGTTTGCCACATTAAAAATTGTTTCCTTCTTTTAAACCAAGACAGTTTCAAGATTAGTAATATCTATAATGCAACCAATACTCTGGAGGTAAGCTCAGATAACCAATTGTAGTTCTGACCAACAGAAGTGAGTATGGGGTATGTTGGGAGCACATGGGCCTGTTTCCTCCCTTCTGATCACTTGTCCCTGGGCAGCTCCTACTGCAACTCTTTCTCTGACAGCCTTTGTCCTTTTCCCTAGCACTTGGTTTCCGGAGCTGCTTTCATATCAGTTTCCTCCCCTTCCACCCTTATTGGCCTCCCTATTTTTAAAGCCAACTTTTCTTCTGGTTTCTCACCAGGTAGGAAAGGAAAAAGCAGAAAAAAGAAGATCTATTTTATTTGCTATTTCGACAACTTTGCATTTGCACAGCTGTGAAACTGGTGTGATCCAACAGCCTTGCTTTTCCTCTCCGCAACATCCTGAGTGTAAAGAAGGATATTTAAATGGGGATGTGTTGATTCTTTTCATGTTTCCTATAACTGTCAGTTTTAATCTTTTTTCCCTATGAAGAGATCTGGTTGCCCCTTGACTAGTCAATGTTACTCTCTCCCTAGAGAGGAATTCCCTAGAGGAATTATGGGGAGGAATTCCCTAGAGGAATTATGGCTCGGCCTGTCTCCTTTCTTGTATTTCTGTCCTGGTGTCTTCCTGTAGTGTATGGTCTCTGGATTCTCTGCCCAAATTAGAGTCTCTTTGGCACTGCATACTTACTTAAGGACTTTTCAAAGATACCACTTTATGATTTGAAGTCATCTTCTCGTGTGTTTAATTTCCTATTGTGACATGGCCAAGTAGAGTGGATCTCTTCCTGCTGGCTAGTAAGAGAGACCAGAGCAAAACCAGAATAGAAAACCAATACATTTGTATAAAACAATGATGGTTCTGCAAATCTGAACTGAACCTTGAGTGGCAGGAAGTCGCAACAGAAGTGGGATAGGGCTTGGCCCTTTTATGAGGGCATTGTTTTGTGCTGATATAAAGGAGGAGGTGTCAACAGCATCAATTTACCCAAAGCTTAACTCCTATCACTTTCAGTAAAAGAGATTCATCCATTAAAATCAGTGGTGATAAAAAACAGCTGAGCTTTTGTTGGATCATGCCAGTAAACTGAATGTAAAATATTTCCCTCTACAGGGCATTCTTTCTCTTTGTCCTAGATGTAAATGTTGAAATGCATTATAAAGACCTGTTTTATTGCAGGAGAAACTCTCCAGGTGCCCACAACAGAACAGGAACACCATTGCAGCGTTCCCTTTGTCTCCTCCAGGAGTTGTCACTGAGAAATGTCTTAGTGTGCAGGAGTCACATGCCCATCATCCATAGCAGAGGGAGCTTTATCTTCAACCTTTTCTCTAAACCATTTAAAACATTTAAATGTGTGGCATTTGCTAGACTAGAGTTTCTGAGGCACTCAGAGTACAGTTTTCTGCACTTCCTTTCAGGACCAGGTCTGTCTTGCTATTTAGGGATGTGGTGCTTTTGTGAAAGAAATCCCCAAATTGCTCATTGATAGATTTGGGAGACAATCCATACCTTTGGACAAGAACAAGGAGAAACTCAGGAAAAGCAGATCAACAGCAGCTACCACCCCACAAAATGCATCTGTGCAAATCTAAAGGTCAGGGGAATAGGGAACAATTTAAGATAAAGACAGGAACCCCACATTTCTCCAGAAGCAATTGGCTACCCTTCTGAAGGAAAATTGTTGGGGAAAAGAAGGCTCTTTCATTATTGTTGCAACACTCCTAATTGGAAGTACCCTGCCCAGAGAGCTGCTTTGAGGGTATTGGGAAAGGCCTAGCAAGGCAAAGTTATTTATGGTTGTCCTTTTATTAAAACTACAAAAGAGAAGAATTTTCAGGGGTTTCTGACCCAAGTGCCAGAAGGGCCTGGGATGCTGGGGTGTACTTTGATTACTGGGAGGACTGTGGGGGAACTATACTGCTCTACTTCAGGTATCCAATACTTAAAGATTTCTCTTGCTTTGCCTGAACCCAGAATCAGCTCCCACATTCAAGCTGAAAAGAGCCATTCTAGAGGAAAGGCTTTCCACTTGCCTCCAGAAGTTGTGAATTCTCCAACACGGCAAGTTTTTAAGAAGATGTTGCATAACCATTTGTCTGAAGTGGTGTAGGATTTCCTGCCTAAGCAGGGGGTTGGACTAGAAGACCTCTAAGGTCCCTTCCAACTCTGTTATTCTATTCTATTTTGAACATGAGGCTGTGAGAATCATATGCAAACATGTTGATAGAACAAAAGGAGTAGGAGTATTAGGAGTATTTTAAAGTGAGACAAAATCCAGTCCCTTCATTTTTGGCCAAGGAATAAGCTAATAGCTAACATAAGAAAATGCAGTTTATTAATTTGTGTGCATGCCTAACATGTGTTTTCACACAAATGGAAGATACAGCCCACAACCCCTTAATTTCTGATTCTGTGGTGAATGGTTTTGTATGCATGTGTTTCCACCAACACACTGGTCTCAGTCAAAAGGTCTTCATCACACCTAGTAATGCAACAGTCAAATTGCAGAGAGTTCTCATTTGATCTCATCAAACTCAATGCTTTTTTATGAAGACAATTTCTTAAATATGGAGCCCCAAAATAATGTGGACTTGTCCAAAACTGAGATTTTTTTTTTATTGTTAAAAAAAAAAAGCAGGGAAGAAGCAGGTAAAACCTTCTCTCACTGGGTTTGAGTGCTCTCTGGATGGGGAGAGTAACAGGACAGAGGGGGAGTGAGTGTGCTGTAAAGGTCAACCAATGGCAGGGAAAGAGAAGGGCCCCTGTGGTTCAGTGATAGGAGCCAGCCTGGGCTCAGAGCTGCCACAGGCAGGCCAAGATTTCCAACCCCCAACCCCATTTGGGAAAAGAACATCTGATGCCATCAAAGGCTGTGCAGATTGAAACCAGATGTGTTTCCCCTGGTTCTTGCCATGCATTTAATTAAGGAGCTCTGGATGGGGAGGAGGCTGTTTTATCCTGTCTTCTCTCTCATTCAGGCTGTGTTGGATGCTGCCAGGCTGTTTACCAAATTAAGGACAACATTTCTCCAGTGCTTCTTTCCACACTCAGCACAGATACAGGCATCCATCCTGAAGGCAGGATCTTCTTAAACACCAGAAAATTTTTCCAGATAACTTTGGATATAGAGCTCATCCCCTTCTTTTCTATATATATCCACATACAATGAATGTAAAGGAAATAGTAAAAATTATTCTGGGCATATGCAAAGGATCTGTCACTCATTGGGCAGATATGAGTGGCCCCTGTGAACCCACAAATAAATCCCAATAATGTCTTCCCAGGACAAATGGAAGGACTTTGGTACTGCAGGGACTCAATCTAATCCAGCATTATCCTGTCTGCAGCAGTCACTAGCCAAATAGCCACTTTTCGTATGGACCACTAACTGCTGCTGGGATTTTTGCAAAGAATGTGATCTGAGTGAAATATAGACCGACTTGACCAATATCTTTTTTTTTTAAGCAGGAGCACTTAAATACAATGAGGATTGTATTTATAAAATAATCAATCAATTGTATTTATAAATTATACAATACATCCTGGCAGGAACCAAGTATGCGTCCTTAGGCATAATGTAACCCAGTAATATTAACCATGTTGTTTTATCATTTCCAGGGTCAGACTGTGTCCATGCCTATGTGACACTTACAAAATGTCCCTTCCTTTACGTAACTCTGGAGTACAGGGATGAGTCTCCACTGCATTTTCTTCTCAGGGTATCCTGGTCTTTCTTCCTCTACAATTTTTATTCAATGAAGACAATATCCAGTATATATGGCAATGGAAATCAAAATTATTAAACTAACTTTTAGGATGA